AACCTTAATGATTCTATGATCCTATGAAATTGTAAAGGAGAAATTTTCTGGTATATATTCAAACATTTTATTTCACCTTTTTGTTTTTCTTGAAGATACTGGTTATTGGCCTGAAACCATCTCTGAAAGTGTGGATGACCTTTCCCTATGGTCGTGTGAGTAATGGAGCCAAACTGTTGCTTTTTGGATCGTGGCTGCAAACAGTTCCTGGAGTGAAGGGGATGAGATTAGGACCAGGTGTTTGGTATTGCTGCTTTATCAGCACGCAGTAAACTCTGTGTTGTGGAATTGTAGCGACAATCTGTTGGTCTGATGTAGACAGACTGTGGGCAGGGGGGAGGTGAAAAGGCTGCTTCCAGCTGTACCCATGTGAAGATGCTGAGTTTCTCCAGGAAGTAGGAAGGGGAAAAACACAGGAGTCCCTCAGCTTCTTGTCTTCCCCACTTCAGCCTGGATGCACCCGCAGATGGGACGTTGGCATGATTATGGTGACAGTCGCCTTGGACTGGGGCTGTTGCATTGCATAGGACTGCACGATAGAACCTAATTGCAGGGGTGGAAAGAAAGTGGAATTAGAGCACTAAACAGCCTTCTAGCCTCTTGATTTTCACTTTCACTGGTCACTGGTATAATTCCACTTGGAAAAGCAGCTGGGGCAAGATGTAGGATATGTTAGACAATGGAGACAAGGCTGCTAGCAAGCTGCAGCTTGTCTTAGTCCATCGTTCCATGTAAGATTGGATCTACATGAAGCATCTAGGACACAGGTTTTGTTCTGAACTGGCTGTCTGCTTTGCCAAGAGACACACGTTGCCCCTAAATCGAGGGGCTGGACGAAAGAGCAGAAGGTACTGCTCAGCTGCCAGCAGTTCAGGAAATTGCTGTACAGCCTGTGTGTGTACATGGCAAAGTCAGTGAGCAGCAGCTGATGAACAGCACGTGTCCTGGAACTGAGGTTCTGCCTTGCGTACCTTACATCCTGGCTGTGCTTTTTGTCTGACAGATGGACCCTTCCAGCGTCCCTCTTCTGGCGTGGCACTTTGTGGCTGTACAGAACTCTGTGAACCCCATGCTTGCGTTCTGTCGGGGAGACGTCGTTCATTTTCTGCTGGTAAGCCTTGGCTGTTGTATGCTGCTTTTTGGAGAGTCACTTTTTATTCACGTATTCAGCTGACTGAGCCTCTGTCTCAGTGGAAGTATGATATCTGTGCATGCTAGGGATGGCTGCAGCTTGCAACCAGCTTGGAAAAACAAACTGGTCGCTTGTTGCTCTTCAGGAGCAATCTGGAGGCATGAGCTTTATGCATTCCAGAAGCGTTGATTTGCAGCTTTTCATTTCTGTTGGAGCTAGGAGAATGTGGATTGTTTTCAGGGAGATGACATGAATTTGAGATACCGTTTTATTTTTTGCTTTAAAACATGAGTTTGGAAAAAACCTGTATGAACCACTTAAGAGACAGCTTTCAGGTCTCGTTGGCATGTGACTTTAGGGCATGCCGCTCATACTGTTTAGATCTGCAGAAGTTACACATGCAGATACGGTTGTTTTGAAATTATTTCATGTCTGATTTCAGCATGAGAGCAGTACCTAGGCTTCAGAAAATCTGGCGTTTTGGCTTTGGAGTGCTAAGTTTGTTTCCCAGCTCTGCTATCATCTTGAACCTTAAGCTTTGCTCAAGCACCTGGCCATTGAGTTGTCTGGATAGAATTGTCTTTCTCCTCTATCTTCCCTCTTGGTATACTTGGGGAGAAAGAAAAGGGTGTATGTTTAAGCCCATCTTTGGTGGAGATGTGTGTGTGTGCAATAGCACGAGCCTCTGCACAGACACCCAGCTCAGCTGCAGCCGGCGGTGCTGCTCTGCTTACAGGTTGTTAAACAGCAGCCATGGTACCTGAATTCAGGTCCCTCTTGCTATATTTCATGTTGTCAAAATGTAAAAAAACCCCTATTTTTCTTTGCAGAATGCTTTTTTTAATGATGAATTAAAGCCAGGTTCACATCAGCATTCCGTGGTTCTGATTTTTATGGGCAGAAAGTTCAGTAGTTCCTGCAGGGAGAGAGAACCCTTGACTGGGAGTTGTGCAACATCTCCCTTCAATTCAGTATTCCAGTGGGGCTGAGCCCCTTGGGGGTCAGGGAATGAGAATCAGTCCTCCTTCAGTGTTCTTACAAATGCTGGAGCTTTGCACCCCTGTTAGAAACTGAATTGCTGTATATGATACATGAGGTGGTGCAGGGGGGAACAGTGCCTTGAACACATGTGGTGCCCCTATGACATACAACTCTTGTCCAATTTCTTTTCTAGGTAAAGAGAGATGATAGTGGTGCAATACATGTCACTAAGCAGAGGCAGCTTCATCTACACTATGATCTCATCAACTTTACTGTAAGTCTCAATACTGCAGAATGATTAATTTTTTTTTGCGCTAGTTTTGTTGTCAGTCTCTCGATAGCCCTTAGTTCTATACTGTTTGCCTTACAAATGTGGCATAACAAGTGGCTGTGTTTATCTGGGGCTAACTAACTGAAAGTATCTTGAACTTGGGACTCAGTGGAAAACCAGCACAAGCAAAATAGCGTGTAGTAGCTAGAGGATAAAAAATTAGTAGCATGGAGGCAACAATACTGTCCTTTCTTGGGAGGGAGGGGTAGCCTTGTTGAGGAGATATTTTCAGGAGTCAGAGAGAATCTGACGAGAAAGGTTTTTATTCTGTATCTTCACTAAAAAGAATGCAAACTTATGTGTAATTGGCTCAGTAAAATTCTAGTGTTTCCATATATGAGTGCATGCTAAAGCACCGTAATTTTTTGATGCTTTCAACAAAAAAACCCTCAACTCTGAAGCACATTTACAGAATACAGCAAGTAAAACATGAAAGGGCAAAATACCAAGATGGATATCCACATGAGCTGGAGTTTGAAGTTTGTTAACAAATATGTTTGGCTGTTTAAGAAAGAAAAAATATTGTAAAAGCAGAAAAAAAAAAGCCTTTTGTTTGCAGGGTTTTGAACATAAAAGTAGAAGCCATGGAATATGAATGACAGGCTTTGAGTTAAACTTAGATGTACTGTTTCTCTTTTCAATGCCTCCTGATGCCATATTTACCTCCTAAGGGATTTGAGAACAGGTGTTGTAGTAGTCTTGGGTTTGAGACCTTTGGATAGAAAGTGTGCTGGAGCACAAATAGTGTGCCGAGAGACAAGAACTCTGGTGGTTTGCCATTTGTCCATGGCTGTTTTCTGTGAAGAAGGCTCCTTGTGATTTTTCTCAGTGTTAAAGCTGATAGGCCAGAAGGACCCTCCCTGTCTTTACCTTTGGAGTTACGCACGGGTGCTGTTGTGAAGTGACCATGTATGGTAACAAAGCTACTAACCATCCTAGAACTGCTAATATGGGTACTCAGGGATATAGCCAGAGCCTGTTTAGTTGGCCTCCAATTGCGTATGCTTTGCTGAGATCTGCAAATTGTTGCTTTTTCAGTGGATAAACTCACGGACAGCAGTGCTTCTGGACAGCGTGGAGAAGCTGCATGTTATAGATCGTCAGACACAGGAGGAGCTGGAGACCATAGAGATCTCCGAAGTTCAGCTGGTCTACAACAGCAGCCACTTCAAATCGCTGGCGACGGGAGGCAACGTCAGCGAAGCCCTGGTAGGCACAGATGACCCGCTTGTGTTAGCTAACTCTTTTTCAGATACACCCTAAGTGGAAGCCTGGAGCTTTGTGAAAAAGCCTTTTTGAAGCATCTCAGAAATCATACGTGCTGTTGATGTGGCCAGCTAACCGATAGTTCATGTTTCCTTTGGTTTTAGGAGATGCTCCTAAGTTACAAAGCTTTGGAATACTCTGTACAGGAAAAAAGCTAATGTGCTTTATTCTTCAAGAAATTCCGTTAGGCTTTTCTACTTCGTATGCCACAGCTACTCTGCCATAGCAGTGCCTGTGCAGTACCTGCATTCCCTGCCCTTGTCTCATAGACTGTCATGCGAGGATAGAGAGGATGAAACATAGTACCTATGCTTGTAGGTACTACATTTCTTTCTTGTTTGAAGTCAAAAACCAGAGGTGGAAGTTGCAACACTTCAACCCTTGTGTTTCCTACTATTTCCTCCTTTGTTTGTTTGTCTTTCTGTTATCTTGGCTTCCCTGCTTGTTTGGTTCTTTTTGGACCCTGGCCCAGGTGGTGTCTGGACATGTTTTATTCCTGATGTAGGTGTTAATTTCAGTGGCTCCTGATAGCTCCTGTCACCCACCTGTGCCTCCTGCAGCAGACTTGCTCGATGTGGTATTTGTATCGCCATAGCATTGTGGAGGGTTTTTTAAAGCCATGGTTCTGGGACAAGTTATTGCTTTCAGTAGAAAATCAGTTTCTCTGTTTTAGAAACAGTTTGCCAAGAGTGTGTGTAGGAAAGGGCCTTCCATCCTTGTGTTTGCCAGAGACAGCCAGGGGTTCTGGAATTCCACAGCTGCTGCTTATCTGGCTTTCACTGCTTTAACTCCTTCACTCTGCCAGCATTGCTGTTATTCTTTCTGCTGCAGATGCATACTGAGGAAGAAGGAGTCAGGAGGTGGAGTCTGGTCTAAGCTCATGTACTGCCTGCCCCATGGTCTGGAATTGCGGGGCACAACCTTGCCGAACGTAGCTAGAGATTGGCACTAAAGTGGTGTTTGAGCTCTCCTTGCTAGGATATGTCATCATTCAGAGCCTTTCACTCACTTCCAGAAACTCTGCAGTGACCTCTGAGGACTTCTGGTGATTACCATCAACCCCAGAAACATGTGGCTTGAAAAACTGGTGGGCTCAAATAAATGCTGCCTGACAAAATGCTGGTGTGAGTCTGGAAAAGACCTCTGCTTAATTCACAGACTACATGAGTCTGAGATGAGAGCTGAAGTCTATAGTGCAATTTTGAGATACTGAGGATATGAAGCAGGCAGTCTCCCTGCGTTTCAGTAGGAATTACAAGACGACCCCTTTCAGAGCAGTTGAGTCAAGGACAGCTTCTGATGGGAAGCTTTTTCTTCTTTTTTTTCTTCATGGCTCAGAGGATCAGGAATATGCTTTTTCCTGTGTTGGTTCTGCAGACGCTCTGGAAGGCAGATCTTAGATAAGGCTGCTACTCCCATAAGAGATATTCTGTTTTCAGAATAGTTTGTGGATGAAGATTGTTAGACCCCATTCTTCTACTGTAGCATCTAAAGAAAACTGCAGGGAATACCTGCTGCTTCAGCCTTCTGTTCTGTGCTGAGCAGGCTGAAGTGTCCTTACGGCAGTCCCAGGAACAAATGCACTTTTCATCTGTGGGAAGACATCCAGGAAGCTTCCCTACCTGACCAGGCTGAGAAAAGCCCGGGACAAACAGCCCTAGCCCGTGTGACTGGGTAGCAGAGCCGGGAGCCAGCACTGCCTGTGCACTGTGGTAAAATCTCTGTTTAGATGTGATATCCTCCTTTTCTCACCCTGTAAGTGTGCCCCTATACAGCCTCTGGAACACTAGTTACTGGCGTTCAAACTTCTGTTGTAGCAACTCTCGCTTCAACAATATTCTTTCCATCTGTTTCTCCTACACATTTGCTCTTGAGGAAGATTTGTGAAGGAGCAGATGGCAAGGTGAGAGCCCCCGTAACACAGGGCATTGCTTGTGGGTCCTTAGGAGTCAGTTGTGTTTTCTGGGCAGCCAGAGCTCAGGAGCACTTGAAGCTGCATTCACAAGCAGGACAAAGGGACAGCAGAGCTTTTCCACTGACTCCTGCCCAGCAGTCTGTAGTGTTTTCTCCCAGTCCTCATTTTGATTTCTGAATTACAAAGTGTCTCTGAAGTTCAAGTGCATATGTTTCTTGGGAAATTTCACAAAAACAAAAAGCAGTCTTACTTGCATGTAATTTTTTTCCCTGTAGGCGTTGGTGGGAGAGAAGGCTTGTTACCAGTCCATCAGCAGCTGTGGCGGTCAGATCTTTTACCTCGGGACTAAGGTAAATGTGGGGAGTTCTTAATAAAATACGGGGCATTTGCTGTTAGTGCCAGATGACGATCTGGTGAAGGCCAGTTTTTTATTCTATGGAGATGTGAATTGGGGAGGGGTTCTCTGTGTCATGGGATTAAATAAATGTGCAATAATATGGTTTTAGCCAAGGTATGGTTTCACAGTATCCTGGTTCATGCTGCTTCAGGGTAGGCTTAACATTGCTGTACTGACAACTCCTCTGTCCTAAGCTTCAGTTTCTCTGTCCTAGATGTGCTAGTGAGTAAACAAAAGAAAATAAGACAGTAGGGAAAATGAGACTCTCTTGCATGGAATAATAAAAGGAATGATATCCTCTATCCATGGAATGATATCCTATGCACTCTGCCTGTCCTGCGGTGCAGGCTGTCTGTGAAAGAGCAAAGAGAGGTGGCCTGTAGGATGGTATGTGGAAGCAGAGGAAAAAGCGAGGGATGGTATCTTGGAGCAAATGGGCTGTAAGGCCATATAAAGGATGTTTTCTGTTAAATATAAACATCCAGTTTGTTCCTGCCATGCCAAGCTTGAGGGTTGTTTTGTGTAGCTTCATCTGTACCAGTGTGCTCTGGTGGGTCTGTGGGATACCGCAGGCTGCATGAGCAACTGTAAGTAACTTGTTTTTTTTTCTTTTCTAGTCTGTTCACGTCATGACATTGAGAAGCTGGAGAGAGGTATGTTGAGAAGAGAACTGTACAGCTTAATAGGTTCAAATTGCTTAAATATAGCTTGAGAGGAGGGAGGCAGCATTTGTGAGGCATGTCCTGAGTGCTGGGCTCAGGATCCCCGATTGCTATGCGTAGGGATGCTATTGGGACTCCTGCTTGCATAAACTTGCAGGCTGAATGGAGACCTTGTTCCCCCAAGCAAGACATAGTGCCTTGCCATGTTTCAGCTTCTGTTAACAAGATGGAGTTAGTACAACGTGTGACTTCAGAGGGCTGTGTAAGTTTAAGCCTTCTATTTGCCGGATAAGCATACAGGAGTGGAAGGAAATCTGGTTCACTGTGTTTTGTCTCCAGGTACTGTAGGAGCTACATCATAAAATCCATCAGACAACCTAGAAAGTTCATTGGATTTTAGATCCTTTTTTCTGTTGGTAGATTTTTTTGGTAGCATAATTTCTGACAGCTGAAACCCTATCAATTTCCACAACAAAGTTCTTAGTGATCTGTTTATGTCTATTTTTTCCTGTGTTGTTTTTTTTTTTTTTTTTCACCTGAGTTAAGCAGCAGTTTTTTCTTTCTGGATCATCCCTTTGCAGTATGTTTATTCAGGGTGTGCATGTTCTCCTTCAGACTTTGTTTGCAAGGCTAAGCAAAGTTCTTTCATCGTCCTCCTGTAAGATTGCCTTCTTATTCCTTTCTTTTTCCATAGTCACTGTTTTCTGCACCTCCTGTGTGCTCAGTTTTTTGAACATAGGTAAACACTTTGGCATATGTTATGCTGGGTAGGGTCGTACAAGTGCCATGCAAAATGCTCCCTGTTCTTAGAGTCATAGAGTCCCAGAATGGTTTGGGTTGGAAAGGACCTTAAAGCCCATCCAGTTCCACCCCCTGCCATGGTCAGGGACACCTCCCACCAGCCCAGGTTGCTCAAAGCCTCATCCAGCCTGGCCTTGAACCCCTCCAGGGATGGGGCATCCACAGCTTCCCTGTCTCTACGAGATATGTCATTCCTCATGCATCCCTGGGTCTCATTTTGCTGTTCCTTTGGATACATGATGCCAGTGGCTTGTGTCCCTCTGGAGATTCACCAGTACCCCATAGCCAAACTGATTTCTGCTGTAAGGTGCTTGTACCACTGGATTGCATCATCCTTACCCTGCTTTAGGGGCAATCTCTTTTGTGTCTGCCTTTCTGGTCTGCTGTCTGGCATCACATGTTGACAGTGGGTCATCAGCAAACTTTATTAGTAAATTCATCTTCTGCCAAGTTAGTTGGCAAAATCGTTATGTAGAAAGGGGCTTCAAGGCTGATTCTCATGGAACTCCAGTAGTCCTCTCTTTCCAGTCTTGCATTTCTCCTTTAAGCAGCGACCTTCACCATTTTTCCTCTTGACTGCTTTATGGCTCTTGTACTCATCCATGATTATCAGCTCTTCCATGTAGCATTGTGTCAGGACCTTTAATAAAATAGTAATGGTCCAGCTCTGTTGAACTTTACACAGTTGCTGCCTTTGGTTACCAAGATCACTTTGCTAGTTTTCCCTCCAGCCATTCACTGCTGACTTTGGTTTAGTGAATTGTTAACGAAAAGTCTTACTTTGACCCATGATTTCATGTACTGGTTCTCCTAGCATTCAGAAGTGCTCGACCTTGTGTGCTAGTAATTCCTTAAAGCAGAAAAGACTTGTGATCTACTTCAGTCTGACTGTGAGCTCAGGAGAAAATAAAGGATAGGATGAGTACACCCGTATGCTGAAAACATGGCAGAGGCGTTTGTTTTGCTCTACGTGATGAAGCAAGGATGGGGAATGGAAAATTTTTATTCTTTGTGATTGCAGACATGCGCTGATGCTGTGGGTTTCCATCCATCAAGCATCTGACTTAAAATGTAGCCCACAGGGACTTGATGTACTGGGGCCTGACATTTCTTACTCTTTTTTAGCTGCCCAGCAGAAAATGTATATATGAGAGAATCATTTTGAGATACTGTCCTTTACTGCAATGAGTTGAGAGCTTCTGAGGTTTCCTGTCCCCTTGCTGTCGGGGATCATGACCCACTACTGGGAAATGCTGATCTTAAATGGGAGGGGATCATCTTTTCTGTAGTACTGAGGTCCAATATTACTTGTTATTGTAGAGAGTTGACCACCTTCTGAAACAAGAACGTCTCACTGATGCGCTGGCTCTAGCTTGGTCTTTTTATGAAGGTAAAGCGAAGGCTGTAGTAGGTAAGTTTGGGTTTGTTGTTCTTTTTGTGTTTGTTTTAATTGAAACCACTGGGGAAGGTTTTAAACCTATGCATGTACATAAATAACTTTTTCAGGAAAAAAAAAGGAAGAGAATTGACTTGAAGAGGATAAAGTAGGATGTGCTGCTTTGGGTTTGGCAGAAACAGCACCTTTGTATGGATCAGTTTGATTTTTTTAGAGCCATAGTCCCTTCAGCAGCTTGCTGTTTTCAGATGAAAATCAGACTTGGTCTGTGTTGGGGCTCCTGTCTGTTGTTGCTTTGCCATGAAGGAGGGGGATCCAGGTGTTGAATACCTAGCCTGAAGATATTCCTGAAGGTCATGCATGACCTGTAGGCAGTTTTCGCTGTGATGTTCTGTCAGCTCTGCCAAGCAGGTCCTTTCATTCAGGTCTCCTCTGACTATACAGCTGACTGAAAGAACTGCTGGGTTTTGGCACCATGTTTCCTATGAAGAAGGATGCTTTAGGAGCACTTAGCTGGTTATGATAAACATGTTAATTATACCTGAAACTGCTGCTTGAATGATCTGATTTGGACTGGGTACATTGACTTTTCAGCATATAACTTCTGATGGTTTTGACAGATGAGACTCAAGTTCTCAGGATAAGATCCCCCTGCTGTGAAATTGCTGGTATATGAAGATCTCTCTCGTTTTAATGCATGGGTATAATGCAATTAAGAAGCTAGGTTTCCAGTACTCAAAGAATTACTGTCTTTTTGAATTGGCATTTAAAATTTTTTTTTCCCTTATAGTGCACTTAATTCAGCCTCTTTGCATCAAGGCATCCTCCAGCAATTAGCATCACGTACACAGTCTTTGACAGCCCTCCCTTAATTGTTCTCTCGGCGTTAAACAGCACTCAGGTCTTTTCTTGCCATCCCTGTCTGGAACAGGACCAGTGTTTACACTGGGAAAATAAGAAAAAGAGTGGGCTAAAAGTAGAACACAAAATGCTGTATTTAGATATCCTGACCCCTGCATCTCAAGGGTATTGGTGCTGAACTGTGGGATTTTTATATTTCTGCTGGTAGCTCAGATGAGAAAAGCTTCATTTTTTTTCCCCTCCTCATTCTTCCTAGGCTTGTCAGGGGACACAAGCAAGCGGAAAGCGGTCATTGCAGACAGAGTGAGTCACTGATCTCTTCCTAACTAGATTTTCATGTATGCTGATGTGATACTGTGTTCCTGGAAGGAATGGCTTCTGTCCTCCAGAAGTTAATCTGACTGTCTCTAGAACATGCACATGTGCCTCTCTTGCTAAGGTTGTGAGCAGGATTTTAGAAGAGACTTGGAAATACCTTTTGGGAAAAGGTGGGAATAACATCTGCAGCCCTAGCAAACCAAAATGTGACATTATCATCCAGGCCTTGAGGTCTCTGGTCCCCTCACAGTGGAGAGAAACCTTTTTTGGAGGTAACTCCAGAGTTTCCTGACTTTTGGTTGGCAAGTGACCGTCAGTATGTAACTTACTGACTCTCAGGATGGAAACTTTGCTCCATGTTTACGTGGACATGTAATAAACTCTTCAACTGCTCCTGTTGAGTTGGTAGAGGAACCTTTTTCTGGGAAAGGTATATTTAAAATACACAATTATTGCAAAAAATATTTAGCTATACTTTGTTCTTGATGTATATTTTATTTGCAGGTAAATAAATTTTGCTGTTTAAGATACTATAACTTAAGCTTTGGGTAAAAACACAGCCCTGATGAGCTTTGTGCTTCAGAAGGTGTTTACCTGCCTAAAAATCTGCTGGCAGACAGGCTGCCCAGTTTCTTGGTCAGTTAAAGTTAGCGTAGGCCTTCAGTATCCCACTGGGCCACTTCTGTCCCGTGTCATGCTGTTGCCTCTTGGCAGCCTTTTCCCTCTTCTCCTTCCTGCCCACAGCAGTTCATACCCAAAATGGGACAACAGAGTTCCCAGTGCTGCCCGCCCCCAAGGCAGGCTATTGAATGTGCTACCAAGTGGGGTCTCTAGTGTAGGATTTGAAAGAGTTGTCTTGTTTGTTGTAATTCAGATGGTTGAAATCCTTCTCCATTACGCTGATCGGACTTTGAAGAAATGTCCTGACCAAGGAAAAATCCAGGTTATGGAACAACATTTCCAGGTATGGTGCTCCAGAGGGCTCTCTTGGGTAGAATCTTTGGAGTTTTTTAATCAGACTTTGCTGTAAAAGTTACATGTCTATTTTTGAGAAATATTGCTGTGGTTCACCTCAACTCTCACCTGTGTTGTGTACAATAATGAGATCAGGACTTAGTTATGGCTGGACGGCAGCGCAGAATCTGTGTGCCCTCTGTCCTCTGCAGAAGCACAACTAGAATTTTTCTCCATATGAACCAGCAAACGGGAAAAGTTGTAACTGTGCCAGCTACCACCTGACTCAGATAGCTCATTGATTCTGCTCTGTATTGGCCAGGCTTCATTGTGTGCTCTGCAGGATGTGCTAGTTGGCAGGGTTTTTGCCAGTCCCTACAGCTTTTTTATGTTTCTTCCACAGGACGTGGTGCCTGTCATAGTTGATTACTGTCTGTTACTCCAGCGCACGTAAGTCTGAGTTTGCAAGCCTGTCTCCCAAGGCAGGGCACCAGTCTGTGTAGTCCTGAGTGCTGTCCCTGTAATATCAACGTGGTTTAGAGGAATTGTATCACATCATTGTGTATCATATCACAGTTTAAAGGAATGCTTAAAAACCAATACTCAAGTCAGGGTACTCAGTACTCAAAGATAAGCATGTCTTAAATTTTCATTGATGTGTTGAGGAAGAGAAGTTTGCTTCAAACTGCTTCCCTCACACCATCCCCTTAAGAAAAAGAAGATGCCTTGGTAGGTTCTCCTCTCGTCATAATTTCTCCTCTAACAGCGAGGTTTTTTGCTGCAACATCCATAGCTGATTTATTCTGCATAGCTGCCTGTAACTTGTGTCAGGATAGGAGCTGAACAGGGCATTCAGCTCCTGAGTTTGAGAAATACAAAGAAAAGGGGTTTAATTTGGAGCCCTCCGAAGTTAGATAAGTCAGGAGATTTTAATAACATTATTTGATAACTAAATACTTCTTTCTTCCTAGGGATCTATTATTTAATCAGATATATGATAAGATGAGTGAGAATTCTGTAGCTAAAGGCATCTTTCTGGAGTGCTTGGAGCCATATATCTTAAGTGATAAGCTGATCGGAATCACAGCTCAAGTGATGAAAGATTTGCTGCTTCACTTCCAAGACAAGAACAGGTTGGAAAATTTGGAAGCCTGCATCGTGCATATGGATATCACCAGCTTAGACATACAGCAGGTGAGCCGTTGTACTGCCCACTGGATTGAGTTCCTCTGAATAACCGCCAACATCCCCTAGTTGCTGATGCAAACTTCTTGTGCTTTTACGCACAGCATAGCGTGGAAAACAAGGTGGCACCTTTCAACAGGCAAGACTTACGTAGTCCAAACCATTCATGCCTTTTGGTCACTAATTTGCTAACAGAGCTTAGCCCTGTGTCCCTGGGATCAAATTCAATGAAGGTGGGGATTATTTAGCCTGGCTGTGTCCATCCTGGAACATGGATGCTCCTGTAAACATGTTTTGCTCCCCCAGTTTGTGTCCTGGTGTAGGTTAATGCATCAGCAGCTAAGTGTGTTGGAAACGACTAGTCTGCCAGGATTAGACTGACATTCACAATCAGTCTTTCCTGTTTTGAGTTTCCTAACATCAAAGGCTGCAGGAGCACAAAACCCAGGAGTTACATTTGTCAGTTTGGTGCTTGCCAGCCTGTCCTGCTCAGGTTCTTACTCTTGAATTACAAAGTTGGTGGAGCAAGGAGGTGTACCTGCTGGGTAGTCTTGTTTTCCTTGGCCAGTTTTTATTCGTATAGCGTGACTTTCCATTCCAAGGAAGGAACTGCTTGGGACCTTGACAAAATGATTCACTAATCCAACCAAAAGGCAAACTAGAGCAATCAAGAGTGTTGAAGAACTGATTTTTTATATTTTTTTTTTTTAATTCTTTAACCTGATGCAGGTTATGAATGTTAGAATCTAGACAGATTCCATGTTTGCTGTGTGAGCAGTAAGCTGGGTACTCCCTTTGGGGATTTGGGATCCCTGCAGAGACTAGTTCTGCAAGTGGAAATTGTCGTTCTGCTTTAAATCATACTGTCGGGTGATGCAAGTGCAAGGACAGAGATTGTCTTCGAGAGACTGGGGAAGGAGAAAACTGTGAGCTGAGAGCAGCTGTGTATCTACATGGTACTTTGTTTGTCTTGCAGGTAGTTCTTCTTTGCTGGGAAAACCATCTCTATGATGCCATGATCTATGTCTACAACAGTGGGATGAATGACTTCATTAGTCCCATGGAGGTAGGAAAGATGCTCAGCGCAGTGAGCTGTTATTGGTGTGTTCAGCATACAGGCTTTCTGAGAAACAGCCTTTCAACACCAAGGCATTGTCTTCTCATTCAGTGTGCATATATTCTTGTTCTTTTTCACTTCAAGGGAGTTTATTTGACTAGATGCAGTAGTGGAAAAAAGTAATTTGTAATTACTGTGCTTTAGAACACAAATTTCACTGCTCAGGTAGCAATGCTCTGCCAAGTCAGAACAGGAAGTTTAGTCATATTAATAAAAATAAAACAAAGGCAGCAGAAGAGAATGACATGATGACTTAAGGAGATTGCCCTGCAGAACTGCTCACAGTTTTGTTGCTGGTGGTGAGCCTGGCCTGCATTGTGTGACGTGCTGAGAAAGCATCAACGTTCTGCACAACGGGATTAGTCATAGGATCACAGAAGGGTTTGGGTTGGAAGGGACCTTAAAGCCCATCCAGTGCCACCCCCCTGCCGTGGGCAGGGACACCTCCCACCAGCCCAGGTTGCCCAAAGCCTCATCCAGCCTGGCCTTGAACCCCTCCAGGGATGGGGCATCCACAGCTGCTCTGGGCAACCAGCACCACTGCCTCACCCCCCGCACAGTGAAAAATTTCTTCCTAATGTCTAATCTAGATCTCCCCCCTTTCAGCTTATACCCGTTACCCCTTGTCCTCTCCCTACACTCCCTGATAAAGAGTGTTTCCCCATCTCTCCTGTAGGCCCATTAATGGCGGTGTGGGTATGAGAGGTTCTATCAACACATGCATTTTTTCCTTCATACTGTCTTCCCCTGCTGACACAATAGTGTATTAGTATGTATTAAAGAGTAATGGAGACAAAGGGTGAGCTTACCTGTGTGCAGAATTCGGAGGAAAGGCAGGAAGCCATCCTTGCATTGAGGCAGGCTGTGTTCTTGGCACCTGGGTGTGACCTGCCAACGGGACCCACCGTCCTGCTGGAACCAGAGGCCCCGGGCATGCTGCTGCTGGTAAGCCTGACAATGTGCCTGATACACCAGTTAGTCTTGAAGCCCATAACTATGATGTCAAGATGGTTCATTATGGAAGCACTGATGATATATTTTCTCAGTAGTGGTGAAGCAGAGAGCTGGGTCCATTTGAGTGTGGAAATCTTCAACTGCCCAGCACTAGCTGTATGGGTACACATAACTTCTGCTTTCTAGAGCTATTTAGACAAGTCCTCATTCTACATACCCAGACTAAAGGCTCTCTGGTGACCCTGCTGGGTGGGCTGAAGGCTTCCTTAATTTCTGGTGACAGAAGATTTGGGGACAGGCAGCGGGGCTGGTCAGTTACACTGTTACTTCTGGCACTACACACATTGCTTTTTTAGTGTGGCCTGTGCTTAGGGTTACACCTGATTGAATGGAGGCTGTTTTTTCACATCTCATAACATCAGCTGGGAGAAGCATCCTTTCCCACATCTTGGTGTCCTTTCCTCCTTTTGACTGTAAGACACGGTGAGAAAGCAGAGTTTCTGTGGGGCAGACGCTCCAGCGATCTCTCTTTAAAGCCACACAGATTCTTTGCTTTGAGCTTTTCCAGGTGCTTGAACACTGCCTTTTTTCTTGTTACAGAAGCTGTTCAAAGTCATTGCTCCTCCACTGAATGCTGGGAAGTCTCTCACAGGTACAGAATTCCTTCCCTTTAAAGGTTTCTAGTTTTGATATTTGTTGTTTTGAATATCTCTAGTCACTTCCAACAGAGGGATGCGAAAAGGAAATACCCAGTGTAAGGATCTTGGGGAATCGAACAGTGCTCTAGTACTATTTATTGTGTGTGAAGCTGCTCTGCTTACTGTGTATGCACATCAGATAAGATGTTTTGCTGTCAGCTAGAAAAAATAATTTTTTTCTCTGTATGTTGTCTAGTGAATAAAAAGTGACATGGTTTTTGTTTTGTAGATGAGCAGGTGGTAATGGGCAACAAGCTTCTTGTGTATATCAGGTAAGGTCCTTTAGAAAGCATGTGTGGTGTTGCCTAATGGTGGCATGAGATCTTTAACTCATGATAGTTGTATAATCTTATGGTGTGTTTCAAGGTCTGAGAGGCTGTGTAAAATAGCAACGGCTGCTTTGTACAGCCATCTTAAAGTTACAAGGGCTTCTTCATAGAATCATTCAGGTTGGAAAAGACCTCAAGGATCATCAAGTCCAACCGTCAACCCCACACCACCCAACCCACTAACCCATGTCCCCAAGCACCACATCCACACGTTTCTGGAACCCCTCCAGGGATGGTGACTCCACCACTGCCCTGGGCAGCCTGTTCCAATGCCTGAGCACTCTTGCAGTGAAGACATGTTTTCTAATATCCAGCCTAAACCTCCCCTGGTGCAACTTGAGGCCGTTTCCTCTTGTCCCATCACTTGTTCCTTTAGAGCAGAGCCCAGCACCCACCTCACTTCACCCTCCTTTCAGGCAGCTGTAGAGAGTGATGAGGTCTCCTTGTTACATGTCGTGCGAGTACATAGGTAGGATAAAGTTGGAGACTTAGAGCTCAAGTTACTGCAGATATGCCAAGACCATGTCTTGTTCTTTAGAATGTGGTGAGAGTTCTTTGTCCTGTGTGTGACACTGCTTCTTAAACAAGGACTCCAGAGCTGAAAAGCTGTATCTTAGCCCTTTCTGTCGTGCCTTGTGGGATAGCTGTGCTCAGGTGCTGCTTACTGTATTGCCTGTCATTGGCCAGAGGTCATTCTGAGACTATGTAGTAGTGATTAATTAGCAAATTCCTTTTTCTGGAATCTCCTCAAGTTCATGAACATTAGATTCTGTATTATTCCTGCTTCCTAAAATGCAAGAGTTAAGACTTTTGAGAAAAATACTGAATTTCCACTGTTACTTTTCTGCTGTGGAATGGAGTACCTTGGAAGCAAACTCATGCAGGGCATGGACTTATTGTGTGTTACCAGCATTGCCGTCTGCAGTGTTTGCTGTCATGATTTACAAAATAAGTGTCTTTGGCTTGTTTTAAGAGCATCCTGAAAACTAACTCCAAGTGTTTTCCTCAGTCTATTTAATGTCAGGAAGTATTTAAAAATGCCTTTTCCCTCCTTCCATCAGCTGCTGCTTGGCAGGCCGTGCATACCCATTGGGAGATATCCCTGAAGATCTGGTACCTTTGGTTAAAAATCAGGTGAGCAACCTTTTGGAAGGAAACTTTCCCATATGAGGTTTTATGTCTTATTTCTGATAGCAAGCTGTTATCAATCTGATAGCTGTATCCTTGTAATATGAGTATATAGCACTGTAGATACCAAATACATTTTTAAAGAATGAAATCAAACAGTTGTTGCGATCTGAACATTTAAACTTTACATTTTTTATTTCAACTGTAAATTGAGGTGTGGGAACATCAAGTTCTTTTGAACTAATTTTGATTGGGGTTTTTTTTTCCTTATTCTTTACTGCAAAGTTACTAGAAATTTTTAACTATCTTTTCTTCCTAAGCTTGCCTATGACATTTCAAATATGGGAGGATCTTCCCTGTTTGCAAATGCATGTAAGATGGGATTGACAGGAGTAGAAAGTGAGGCAACAGCAAAGAACATTAACTAAGTATTCCTTCCGCTGTTTGGCTGTTGCTAAAACTGCAGTTTGTGTTGGAGTTTGCCTAGCAAAGGGTGAAGTTCAGCACAGTCATTTTCCACGATGAAAGCCCCACTAGATGCATTGCTTGGCAGTCTTTGCCCTAGTTTCGTGTCACCATATCTTCACCTCTGAAGCTTACCCCGTCTTGGGTGTTCCAGGCACGCACACATCTGTCCTCTGGGTGTAATTCCCACACGCAGGGTGCACGTGCCTGTGCTGCCACATAAATCCGGATCACACACCCGCAGGTCCTCAGTAAATGGGTGGATGAGGGCGAGTTGCCATGACTGCTGAGTTAGGTAGTTGAGTTGGAACAGATATTTTTTTTGGTTGTGTGGGGGTTTTTTGGGGAGCTTGGTTTTTGATTTGGGGTTTTTGTTTTGTTTTGTTTTTTTTGGTTGGTTTGGGAGTTTTTTGTGGTTGGGGGTTTTTTTTGTGTTTTGGGGTTTTTTTTTGCTAATATAGCTTGTAGCTATGTATTTGTGGTAATCCTTTACTCACAGGATGTGCAAGCCAGTCTGCTCTTCTTTGCTGGATCAAACACTAGGCTGTTGCCCTGTCCTATGGTCCTTATCAAGCCCCACCAGCAGCAGCAGCTCCAGGGAGGAGCCATCAGCCTCTCCTTTTGGTGGCCTCTGGTGGTGTTCCTGAGAGCCTGGCTTCAGGAACACCTTTCTGTCTGGATACTTGAATCCACTCTAGCTACACTCTGGGTTCTTTTGATTTGTTTTCTTAGGAGTTCCTAGCTGGCAGGTGGGTGTCAGGTTCAAGGAGGCCAGCAGGGAAGGCTGCAGGTCTGGCAGTCAAGCTGCTTACTCCTCCTGGCTTTGCTGCCACTGTGATGGCAGGAAAATTATCTTGGAATAGGAGTAAAGGAGAGAGCACAGCATTTCCCCAGGATGGCTGGGAGAGTGTGTTGCCTGTCGGTTCTCCATGGGATCCCAATGTGTGTCTTAACACACTCAGGAGTGCCAGGCAGTCTGCTCTCCTGCGGCTGGCAGCCAGATCTGTTAGGAGCGTGTTGGAGACAGCTGGAGCTGTTGCTGCCCTCTTTGTTCCCTGGGGGTGTCTGGACACCTCTGTCAGTGGTTGAGTAAAGGGAGTTACCTTCATTTTGAAATGTGCTCGAATTTCAGGAACTACAAAGTCAGTGGAGGAGCTACAGAGTTGAGTAGCACCGTAGTCAGTCCTTGCAGCTGCAAAAGCTTTGTGCCTGCAAGTGAGGGGGCAGATTGACTGGCTCTGCCCCAGGGAGCTGCTGGCAAGGAGAGGAGCTGTGCCCTGGCTAAGGAGGAGTTGCACAGCTTCTGAGGAGACCTGCCAGGAAGGGGAGGAGTTATCTGATTTCACATGCTTCTGTCTGCAAGTAAAAGCCTTAATTTTTGGTTCATCTTAAATTTTGATAAATTGTTTGGTGAGCCTAAGGAGGGAAAATTTTTTTTCGTACTAACAAGCAGCAGCAGCAAACATCATTCAAGTAACACTGATGGGGGCTCCTAAGGTCCTGTAAAACTTAAGTGCAAAGCAGGTAACGATGCTGCTTTCCCATGTGCTTGTGCTGTCAGTTGCCTGAAATCTGCTGTGTGTGTTTGAATTTTCATTGCAGGTCTTTGAATTTCTCATCCGGCTGCATTCGACTGAGGGATCTGTGGATGAAGAGGTCTACCCTTATGTTCGTACCTTGCTGCACTTCGACACTCGGGAATTCCTTAATGTTCTTGCTCTGGTAAGAGATCACCGATCTCCTCCAAGAGAAAAATGCAACTCTGGTTCTTCCATAATCTTATGTCATGGTTGCATGATCTGTAAGATTCCTGTTAAAAAGTTCATGCTTTAGGTAAACCAGTAGTTACTGGCTTGATGCAGGAGCAGTTTTGATGTGTGCTCTATAAGATATCAGAGGAGATCATAATAGTCGTTTATGTCCTTAAATATTAACTGATGAATATGACATTATACAGTGAAGACTCTGGTAACAGAGGCAATCTTTAAAGCGCAGGTAAAACAAGAATAATGTATTTGTAAAGAGTGTTTTGGTACTTACATCTTTCTCCTGGATAGAGATTTATCTTTCTTCCTTTCCAAATTTATTGAATTTCCTCTGTCTGTTTGGACCTGTTACTTTTACCTGAATATGAAAGAACTATTTTGGTAGTTACAAAAGAGCAAATTGTATCTCAGAACCTGCTGCTTAGGTGATGTGCACAGAGGGGACTTGAATGAATTGTCAGCTCTGTGATACGGCTGCTGCTTCATGTTTGCTTGTATTTCTGGGGCTGGCAGTGGACAGTGTTCTTCTCAAGGTGTTGGTGTTTTGCCTCATGCAGACTTTTGAAGACTTTAAGAATGACAAACAAGCTGTGGAATATCAACAGAGAATTGTGGACATCCTTCTGAAAGTGAGTGTGCCTAAAAATTAACCTCCATGTTGCATCTGACTGCTTCTATCTGACACTGTGCAGTAAAACCTGGAATTTGGTGAGGTGTTCCAGTCCTGCCCTGGATGACACCTCTGAGAAGGTGGTAGGCTGGAGCATGGATCCACCTCAGACAAGGCTGTCGGTTGGATATTTGGAAGTGATGCTTCGTGCCCATTAAATATGGTGACAGAGAGGTCTCCTTTCGTGTCTGTGATTTCACCTGGGTTGTACTTTGTTGACAAATTTCTCCTCTCTGCACTGTTAAGTTTATTTTTATCTGCTTCTCATCGATTCCACTCCCTGATTCCTTCTGAGCAGGCAAAACTGTCCCAGGAATCCTGTGCTTGGCAGGATGCCAACGCTCTTCTGATAAAACCCTGCTCCCTGTACCTGTAAATGCTGTGTTTGGGATGTAGCATACCCAGAATGACAGGCCTATCTTTAGTAAATGGGAAATAAGGGGAATGTCAGAGTTATCAGCCTGGTGCTCTAGAAATCACTTGTCATCTGCAGCCCGTGATCCTTAACAATGAACGTTCTCATTAAAAGCTGTCGCTGCCAAATGCCGTTTGCTTTCCCCTCCAAAGCTGTCAGCATTAATAATGAGTAACTCCACTTGGAAGCTGTTTATGTATAAACATATCATAAGCAGCGTTTCCCTGTCACTGTCATCACTGATAGCTGAGAGCAAGGGCACCAGGGGTGAACTGACACAGCAGTTAGTCCCTGCTTTTTTGTGTCTTTAGCTGCTGCCAGCAGGAGGTGGCACACTGCAGCTGTGTTCTGGAGCTGCTGTGGCTCAGCGTCTGCTGGATGGAGGTGTTTACAGCCCTGCTCTGTGCTGCTGGCCGTGCAGCAGATGGGTTCTGTCCACCGCAACAGAACTCAGCCCTGCTCTTGGAGGAGAAAGGGAGGGCAATTATGAGAAGTGCTGCAGCATTAGATCCATTTGCAGGCAAACAATTGGCTGTTACAAGAACTCTCAGTCCCTTGGTCTAGAATCTGTTCTCCTTGTGGATAAAAATAAAAAAATCTTGGAACTTTTTATTTAAATTTATCGTTGGCAAAAAAAAACCCCACTTAGGAAATAGCCACATTTTTAAAATAGTTTGGCCAACACAGATGTTCTGCTAATACTGATCTAAACTTCCCCAAATACATCATCTTTTAGAAAGTCCACGTGGCTGGCCTGCAGCCTTGGTAAGGCTGCTCTGTTTCAGAGGTACAGTATTTTCACCTTCACGTGGAGTGACGAGGACCCAGTTGGTGAAAAAAACAGACAAAATGAGTAAAACACTCCTGTTGTTCTAGTGAGCCATATTTTTAATGCTATTAGCTAATGCCCTTCTGACTAGGCTCCTGTATGAAATAACCTTTTTAGACAGAAAATAAAGATTAAAAAACAATGATAGCATTAACTGATGTTTCAAGCAGAGCTCTAACTGATTCCTTAACATGTCTCAGCTGTCTGCCTCCACTTGTGTAAGATAACCATTAGCATCTCATGGGGATCTGGAATTCTGGGTCACTTTAAGAAATCAATTGTATCTCCCAAGTTTAGACTGAATGAGGTTATAAACTGTGAGATGCTTAGTGTCTAGGCTTTGCTAGAGCAATTCTTAGATGTTAGCTGACAGAGCTGTTCAGGTGATGGATTTCTTCCCAACTAAACCCACTGCTCTTAGAGGCAGTCTCCAAACAGGGGCATTTCACTTTCCCTTAGTGTTTAGGAATTTTTTAGGAGCATGAGACACCACGTCACAACACATTCTGCTCATTTTTTATATGCCTGACAGGTGACAAGCACTTCTTGGGTTTCAAATCCCTTTTATAGTGACTCTTAGATATTCCATTTTTCTGTAATTTCAAGTCAGTACAGCCACAAGTTTCTCAAAATATTCATAGACTAACAGCTAATTTAATGTGAGAAAAGAAACAGACACGATAGCTGTACAGGGATTTCTTGTTGCAGTGTCCTGATTGCTTTCCCAAAGGCAGCTGTAGAATCAATCACTTGTGTTCTTATTTTTCCCTTTTGTCTCCAATGCTTCTCAGGTCATGGTGGAGAATTCTGACTTCACCCCGTCGCAGGTTGGCTGTCTCTTCACCTTCCTCGCCCGTCAGCTCGCCAAGCCCAACAACACATTGTTTGTGAACAGGACGCTTTTTGACCAGGCAAGTATTCCTTGGTGAAGGGTGAGTTCCGAACAGACTGCAGCACCGCAGAAAGTGTGGCTCGTGCTGTGGGCTGGAGCAGTCCTGGAAGGACTGGTGCGCTATGAAACAGGTCGCGTCTTGCTGGGACCTTATTGTGCTTTCAAAGAAGCAGAGCAGGAGAGAGCACAGAAAGGCAGGAAGCTCCACGTTGCAGTTTGCCTGCTGGAATTGTGTGGGAAGTAGGGTCAGGTCCTAGGAGATGGAAGAGCTGCTGCTCCTCGCTGTGCAACGGCGGATTCCTGTGGTCACTAGTGTGTCAGGAAGGGGAAAGCAAAGGCTCGTGAGGGGTGGAACCAAGCAGTTTGTCTTTAAGTGGGCATGTTAGTGGCTCTGTTGGCACTTGTTGTGTGTATGAAATGCCTAAAATGACACTAGCAAGTTTACAGAGCTGGTATACGTAGCTGGCAATTTCTGGTTTGCATGGCCGTCACACTTCTCTGCTGTTTGAAATAGGCTGATATGAATCAATGCATGCCTAAAGCTTGCATGGGTTAAGTTTATATCCCCATTTAAGTCCCAGAAATTCCTGGGGCTGAGGAGGTGGCTTCAATGGCTACAGCGGTTGCGCTTTGGTGATAATATGGATATTTGAACACTAATAAAGAACAGGTTAGAAAATGTCTGTCCTTGGGCATAATTTAGACTGAAGAAGTCTGTGGAGGCTGAGTGGATTTGGATTAAACACTTTAATTACAGATGTATAAAATTTTATGAATTACATGACTTCCTGTTTTTCTGGGAGAAGTGGCACAGTCCAGTAGAGAAGGTGAGAGGGTCAGCGTAGTGGTTCCAGCTCTTTGGTGTGTAGGGCCACAGGGTCTCCTGAGTTCCTCTGTATTCCCTGGGTTCCCCAAAGTTTGGTTCTGGATCCTGGTGCGGAGTCATGGGTTTCCCTCCCTGGAGTCTTTCAGCTGTTCTTGGTTGCTCCAGTATTCTGAAGTGTTCCTTAGTTATAGAGAGTGCCTCACAGATGAACATCCATCCAGATTGCACCGTTGCGCTCCGATTTGCTGTTGCCGTTGTTGGTGCTCACAGTCTGCAGGTTAGGTTTCTGCTAACAGCTGGGCTAACAACTCGTGCTAACCTCTGCATCCTGGCACAGGTCCTTGAATTTCTGTGCAGTCCGGATGATGACTCCCGCCATTCGGAGAGGCAACAGGTAACGGCCTTCAAGGGAACGTTTGTGCAAGCACCAGGTATGACCAGGCTGTAGAGCACGGTTCGGCCTCATTGGGAACATACGCTGGCTGAAGGTCACATGCTAAAGCAGTCACCTAGTGTAGGAACGGTGGCCAGCATGGAAGAATTGGGCAGCACTGTACACAGCAGGAGAGAAGGAGGATCCTACCCCAGCATTGCCTGCAGGAGAGATTTGACAGCAGTAAGAACAGAGGCAGGAAAAGTCCTGGATAAGCGCGTGACCTTCATAGTTAATGGACAATCAATTAAAAAAAATCTGTAAAACGAGTCCTGTGTTAATACAAAGTTTAATGGAGCAGGAGCAGTGTATTTTTGAATGGCACTGGCTGTCCGGCTACTGCTGCAGTGTAAATAACTGCCCTTCAATATCTGCAGGTCCTTTTAGAATTGCTCCAGGCAGGAGGCATAGTGCAGTTTGAAGAGAGCCGTCTTATCCAAATGGCAGAAAAAGCAGAATTGTAAGTTGCTTTTTACAATATATAAATGCTGCCTTTAGATCTTGCATATGATATTTAAATACTGCCTTTCAATCTCCTCCAAAGATTTTTTTCCTCCACATTTCTTCTTCCTACTTTGCAGCTGTGTTTGGGATTATTCTCCCTGTGCATTCACATCTGCTTCATTTAATATGTTCATGTTTAGTCCCAGTCTTTCTGCTTCATCTGTACTGAGTGTTCTTACAGAAAGCGTTGTTAAGAGAGGGTAGAGCTGTGGATCCCCTTCAGCATGGAACCCCATGGGGCTTGATGAGTTTTGGCACTTCCTAGAGCCCAGGCTTTGTTCAGAGGCATAGCTGTGTGTTTGAATGCTTTACCACTGACAGATGGAGATGACTCCTTGGGGTGAGACCCACAGGTGGATTTAAAAGCATGAAGGGGTCTGAAGCCACCCCCGTGGTACTCATTTTAGAATTTGAGTAGGAGAGACAAAACACAGTGTCTGGAAAGGCTAAAAATTTCCACCAGCTCTTTTAAATGCTTTCTACTTCCAGAAAGAGTCTGTCATGCGTGAGCAGAGTCAGCCAGGGAGGGGCATCTTCATACAAGGCTTGAGTTTGGATGTTATGTGAATTAATGCACCGTACTACAAAGGACCAGGGGGATAGAAGTGCCATGGTGGGGTATGCTATGCCTGTTTTCCTGCCTGTCCTAGGAGGAGTTACAGAACCAAATTTTTCAGACATTTTTTCAGAGTGCATTTTTTTTTCTCTCCTTCCTTCACAGAGTTTGGCAGCCAGAACCACCAGCTCAGCCCCTTCCATCAGAGCTAAAAGACCTATAATGTAATGTTATTTAGCAGACTTTTCATTTGTTTTGCCTCAATTGCATCTGTTTTTATCTAAAGTCTCAAAATATTAAAGATGTTTATTAAAATCTGAAGGTAGGAAGCTGTCATAACACATTATTGAGTCATGTTCAGTGTATTTCTCCAAATTAGCACTGTGGAGTGGCCTAGCTTAGAGCTGAGTGTGTTATGGAAAGAAGAAAGATGATCTATGAACAGCAGAACCTGTGAAACTTGATTTCTTTATGGATTTTTGTCCTCTCTCTCTTGCCTCTCACCTTAATAACTCTGGTTTTCTCTGTTCTGTATGATAACTTCCCCAAAAGAGGGAGGCTGATAGGCTGCTTGGCCTGTGGCTGGTACCAAATGGTATATGTCAACTGGAGCCACCCAGCCTGTGTGCTGGAAGCCTCAATGTAAGATACTTCTAAATGCTGTTTGTAAAACAGGCTGTGTTTTCCTCTGAGTGCTGCCAGGCTGTGCTGAATCTGAGCTACCTACTTCTATTCTGCTGGCTCAGCTGAGGGAGTGTTTTTCCTAACGTGGAAAGTGTTTTTCCTTTCAGCTATCAGATTTGCGAGTTCATGTATGAACGAGAGGATCGCTATGACAAAATAATCGGCTGTTACCTGCGTGATCCAGTGAGAAAAGTGAGTAAATGAGGTGCTTCTGGCCTTTCTCCTTCCTGCCAGCGCAGCCTGTCCTGACAGTAGTGTGAACAGGCGCAGCAGCCCTGCTCTGCTGTCTTAGAAACTGGCCTCCTTTATGGTGAGTTTTCATAGTTATAGCCGAGGCTTTTTGTGTGTGTTTGTGTGTTGGAGAGGAGTCGATTTTTTTAAAAGTTCAGAGTTTTAAATTTCTTTTAAAATTTAAGCAATGCTAATATATCGAATCTCAGTGCAAGGTGGGATTTCCTGCAGATGTTGCTAACTGCAATACTTCTCTGCTTCTGCCCTCAGTCCCCTCTTTTCTCCCCCTGGACAGACTTTCTCTGCCCTTGCTGTATCTTTGCAATTAGCTTCTGCATGTCTGCAAGTTGCATATCTGCCACCGTTTTTGAGGTAGTCTCTTCCCTACCACCAACAGAAGCTGGGAGCAGAGTCTGGCAAATATCATCTCCCTGGCTCCTTATGAAACCACGATGCTGAAAGCTGGGTGGGTGAGGGGGTCAGAAGAGATGGGTTGTGATAGTGAGATGGTCAAAAAATATTGTACAGGAGAGCACCTTAGCTGAGGACAGTGCAGGAGAACCTGGGGGAGAGGCTCATGTCAAAGAAAATTCAGGAACACGCTGGGAAAACCAACCTACCCTCTAGCAAAGCGTTCCTTTCTCTGCCTATGCTCCTAGCTAGAGAGTGGTGTCCTGTCCTTTGTCCCTGTGAGCAAGAGGGGGACATTTCCAGTGGTGGAAGAACAATTGTCTTTGACCTCAGTGCTTAATACATTTAGCATCAATTCTGTTCCTCTTGGCTTTTTTTTCCTGGCAGTTCTTCAGGAGCTATTTAGGGACATATATATAATCTGGCCTGCAGATAACTGATCCTGACGTGCTAAGAGAGGACTAGCCCTGAGGTCATCCCGAGATGTTTGAAATGCTCTCCCTGACCAGACTCTAATGCCGTTGGCGGCACTGCAGAACATACCGTAACATTTATGGGTTTATGCCTTACAGGAAGAAGTTTTCAACTATATTCACAACATCCTCTCCATGCCTGGCTACAGTGCTGAAGAAAAGCAGTCGGTGTGGCAGAAAGCTTTGGAACATATAGAGGTACAGTGTATCCTAAACCCCTGGTGCCTGAGCCACTGCTAAGTCCTGTGGGATCTGCCTAGTGCTGTTCTCTGTTAGCAGAAATGTCACAATTACAAATCACAAGTGTTTAGGAAGCTCTGACTTTAAGGTTTAGCAGTCTCATACATTAATATAGGTGCATCTCTTAGATTTGGGCTGACCTCCTTGGTTTCCTGGTTTCAAGCTCTCTGGGTAATGGGACCTTGTCAGCTAGTGAGTGCTGTGTAGCAGGGAAGGGATCCATTAGCAAGTCTTTCACCTCCTGAGCATGCAGCAGCAAGGTCAGGACATTGACATCACTGACCTGGCAGTCTGTGGTACCAAATTCCTCATTTTACAAGGGGAATAGCATTCAGCCTTCGTACGCTGATACTTCGAGCCTGTGGGAAGATGGGGTCATGACTCCTCCTGTATGACATGGACTGTTGCTAGACTTCTCTAGCTAATAACTTATCTCTGCAATCTCTCTTTGCTTCAGGGGATGGAGATGTGTCAGAAATAACTCTCCAGTCAGGAGATATGGGGAAGCCATAATGTCTCTAGTTCCTACAAGGTGGTGTCAGTCCCCTCCACGGTGATCTGGAGATAAACCAGGAAAATAACTCTGTCTATAAAACAAGCAATCATGCAGTTGCCCAGACCACTTAGCAGAAAATGGCCACAGAAGTCTGTGTCCTGTGAGGTGGACAGAAGAGTACTAGGTACATTTGACAGATGCAGAATACTTTTAGTCTCTACCAGCATCTGCAAGTAGTGCGTGACTAGTGAGAAAATGGACCAAGAGGGAAAATGATTCCAAAAACAATAAACAAAGAAGTGCTGTGAATCCAGCTGTATGACGTGCAGCTTGCTGAGCTCACGCCCTCTCTCCAGATGCGCTGTCGGAGCCTGTGGGAATTGCTGGGGGTGATGGGTGTGCTGGGGCTGAGCGCCTGGCTCTGCACTGCCTTAGCAGAGCAGCCATGGTTCCACGCTGGGCTTTCTGCTGTCTGCTTTGCTGCTTCCTTGTGACTGCTTCGTTCTTCTCCTCCTTCATCCCTTATCTCTTCTTGGGTTGGTATATACAGCCCTAATTTTTGGGTTATGAGTGCCTCAGCCTCCCTCTGTAAGCCTTATTTTGTGTCTTTGTCAAATTGCAGGTAGGTCTCCTTGGTGGGTCTCTTCACCCTGAGGCCTTTACAATTGCTGTCCCTTGCTTGGGTGTCTCAGGACAAATCAGAAATGTCCTGGGTTGCCCCTCCTGATGTTTCTCACTGTGTTGTGCTGGTTTTGATAAGCTTGTTGGAGGCTAAGGCTGCCAGCTTTCCATCCTGAGTTGTTTGTTTGTTTTCTCAGTCTGGTGGAGCCACATCTTGATTGTTGTACAGCACCAGAAGTGCCCAGTGGCCAGCTTGTCAGAGCTGTCTCATTTTCTGAAGTTGGCAAACAACAGAAAAAATTCCTTTCAACTTGTCCATGGCCATCCTTAAAAACAAGGTTTCTTGCACAGTTCCACCAGGCCTGCAGGTAACTGCTGGCTGCTCTTATCTCTGCTTTTTGCAGCTTCCTCCAAAAAGCTGCTGGGCAGATGATCAGGTCTGTAGGTCACCTTTCTTGGGTGCTGTCGCTGAGATCATCTCCCTCTGTCCTTTTGGCATCTTCCTTTTCTCAAGATTGGTGAACAGTATACACAATTTCCTGTGGCTTGGCAGCTTATTGCCTGCTGTGGGTTTTGGTTTTTTTTCCATTGTGTTAATCCTGATCTCAGACATTCAGAAGACATAAAATAATCAACAACGTCTTGCTAGGATGGTGCTGTGATCTCAGGCCTTTTATCTGCTGAGGTATGAAAGTAGCAAACCAGCCTCTTCAGCTGAAACCAGCAGTGTCTAGAGAGGCTTTCCTGGCGATCTTATGACAGCAATTGGGGTTTGTGATCAGTGCCACTTCCTGTTTTCGCCATCATCCTACATACCTGTTGTTCCTTGATGTTTATCTTGAAAACAAAACCTGAGGCTTCTCTCCAATGGTAGCGCTGTTTGTGGCGGTCGCTTTCTGTCCCCAGACCCGCGTGCCTCGTGTCAGCACTGTCTCCTTGAGGGCTGGCTGCCGGCAAATCCCACAGACCTGGGAGAGGATGAAAACCCCAGCCTCTCAAACCCTGTGCTCGGGGGTAGGCTGTGAAGGTCAGGCTGGTTTAAGAGCTGCAGTCATTACAGGAAGGCTGGGCCACCTCCCTGCAGCCAGCCAGTCCTATCTGCAGCTGTCCTGAAGACTCCTAGGGAGGGTTTGTCCAGAGGGAGAAATTAAGGCAGTGACACTACATCCTTTCTGCATTCCTGTGCACTCCTGCAGTTAAGATCTTCTGGGTCCTTTGGCCTGCCTGGGTTTGTGAGATAGATGAAGGCGTTGTGCTCCTGGGTGCTGGGGAAGCAGCGAAGAGCTGTGGCTCCTGCAGTAGAGCTGTGGGGTCAAACACCGCAGACCTGCTTGACATCCAGAATAGTTGGCAAATTCTACTTTGGAAACCTCAGCGTCTTCCGTGATAGCCCTTCTTTAACGAGGAGTGGAATGGTCAGACTCTTCCTTGTTATGTCTCTTCCCTGCACCCTGGGCTGTTGCTGGCATTGGCTGAATTTGGTGGCTGCTGTGTCTGTCTGCAGACCAAGATAGTGCTAAGTAACTTTCTCAGATTTTTTTTTCCCTTCCAGATGTATGTGTATGAAGTTTTTATTTCTTTACCCCTGTAACAATGGTTTTCGTTTAGTACAACAATGCTTTCTTTGTAGGCTTAGCAGGGGCTTTTGGGAAGGGTTACCAGGTACCCAATATTGGTTTGAAGTAGCTGCTTCTCATTTATTTGGAAGCATGGATGCATTTGGAAGCATCAGGAGCAAAAAACTCATGTCCTGGATTGTGTAAACTTGTATGATATGAAGCCTCTTAGATCAAGCTTGACAGGAGGCAAACCCATAGGCATTTGTAAGATTTTTTTTTTCCTTTTATTACAATAAATAAATTGTTCAGGGTTTTTTCATGTCTGGACAGGTATCAGTTACAGGTAACCTGCTTTTAAACCTATGGCTGGGTTCAGTTCAAGCCAGTTCAACACTGTTTCCATTTGACTGAGAAATTCCCCAGGGTCAATCAAGGGCTTTGTTTCCTCTCTCCTGCTGGCTCCTAGTTGGCACTAACTGGGCTTGTTGGCAGGGGTAAAAGGCACTTGTCAGAAAACCTGATTAATAATTTCCTCACCTTAGGTCTAAGATGTGGTCTCGCTGGTGTGAAAAGTCTTGCATTCTTACAAGACCTGTTGTGTACTAAAATCGACTTTGAAAAATGCCTTTTTACAAACTACCCTTCCTTCTAATTTTTTTCAAAAATGACTGTGCGATGGTATTTGCTATTTTACAGCTTTCATCCTGGCAAAGATAGAGTTGCAATGTGAACGGACTCAGTGATACTGCATAATTCTATTGCCTATGAAATGGAAAGTTTTTTTGTTGTTGTTGTGTTTCCCTCTCCAAAGGAGTTGCTGTTGCTGAGCCCATGTAAAGCAGCCGACTTGGTAGCCATTCACTTCGGTGAGCAGATTGAGAGCATCATTACAAAACTTCAGGTAAAGTGTCAGACTTCGTTGGTGCTGGTGCTTCTTTACAGTGGGGTCATCATTCTTGTAAGATGACTGCTAAGAGTACTGGGAAGTTTTTGCTGTGTCATAAGTGGCAGAAAAATAGCTTGATAGCTACTCAGCTGCAGGAATTGCTACATTTAAATTATTTGTCCTATTTGTAGAGTTCTGGCCATAAAAATGTATGATCTCTGAGTTGCTGGTCGCATCACTTGGTAATGCAGTATTTAGTCTGGAGCTCAGTATGGCTTGCACTCACAGATCAGACAGAGCTGTTGTCAGCAAACGTATCCTCTGAGTTATCTGCCCAAAAAAAAAAAAATACTAAACCAACTTCTTCAGCAGGCACCAGCTGTGAACAGTATTTTCTTCAGTGGATATAGTGCAGGAATCACTGGTTTATAGACGTTATTTGAAAGAGTAATACTGTGTCTCCTCCTGTTGTACAGGACCAGTTCTTGCTCTTCCAGTTTCTGAGGAGTCTCCTTGATCCAAGGTATGTAAGAAAATGGGACCATTTAGAAACTACAGCTTGAAAACATGTGTGAAAATCAGTTCCTTTGAAACAGGCTATCAATAGACAGCCTACAGCCAAGATTAGGGCCTGGAAAAGGCGACTTGCTCTTCAAACTGCCCAAAGTTGAGAAGCATAGCCCAGAAATAAGTGTTCTGGGGAGTATTATTTGTCAGAGCCCTTGCCAGCTTCCTAACTGGGAAATGGTGTGGGTTCCAGTATGTGCAACATGCGCCTCCCCCACGCTGGTGGGAGTTTGGGCGTTGCTGGAACGGCTGCTTTGGGAAGGCTGTGAAATGGTTACCCTGGGGCTGAGACGGCCTTTTCTCTTCTCAGAAATGGCAGTTTCTGTTCTCAGCCCACTGATTGATTGCTTGACCATGGTGCCCAAGTTTAGCATAAATAGAAAAGTGTTTTGGTCTACGGGCATTTTGCATTTCTATCTTATTTCAGAATTGCTGCTGCATTGCACTGCGAACTTCTCTTTAACAACTTGCTTGCTCCATCTGCTCCTGTTCTTTCAGTATTTCAGCACTGAGTATTCTCTTTCTGTTGAATCAGTTTCAAATGCTACAAGACCTTGATTTTATTTATTTTCTTTGTAATCCATTTATATACACACAGCTCCAATTGCCTTCTAGCAACTGTTAATGCAATTTAAGGAAGATCTTGCTTTGTCAATTAGTGACAAATTAATTGTGCTTGAGGAGGAGGAGGAAAAGGTAGTATTATCTAAGTTCAAGGGTCAATGTTTCCGTTCTTGTTGTAGCGGAATAAAAACCACACTTTGGAAGCTAGAACCTTGAATTAATCAATTTTTGGGTTTAGTTAGGATGTAAATTAAAAATAACAAAACATGTCTTTTTGTAATTATTGTTTCTGGAGTTTTACAGCCATGTTTGTATGGAAGTTGTGAATTTGTTTCTTAGAAGTCAACATAAAATCAGCATTTTGCCAAGAAAATGGTTGAGTTTTCTAGAAGAGAAATTAGATTATTTAGTTAATAAAAGAATACTTTAAAAAAAAAAATGAATAGCTAAGCAGAAATGATACCCAGCTGGATGTTAAGTCGGACTTTGTTTATGCTGTGATATCACTTGAGGCAAGTGAGACCCAGGGAAGGTAGTCATTAACCTGGATTTTAATCTTATGCATAGAGTGGCTTCCATAATCTCTGAGTAATAAACGTATCTAATTTAGCTCTGCCATAATTAGAGCTAAATACGACCCTTTCTCCTGTAGTTATCGTCTAATCAAAAGCAACACATGATGTGTTCAAACCAGCAATAGGAAGCAACTTTCTGTATCTGATCTTTCGAAAGCTCTCTGCGTTCCCTCCAAGGCTGCTGTTGAGCAAGGTGTGTTAGCCACGTGGCTTGTCACATTGTGCCCTGTGTCCCTTAAGAAGGCTTACCAACAATTCCTTGTCCCTCTGGGTTCCAAAGTCCGTTAATGCTCTGCACTACAGGAGGATGGTCAGCATCACAAGGAGTGGAGAGAAACCGTGTACTGACTGGATTGCTATTGCCAGAATACTCACTGAGTAACAGATAAGTGGGACAGTTGTACAGAAGAATGACCAAACTACTACTAAATACTGTAGATTCATGAGTGAAGACACGGGAAACTACAGGCTGGTCAGTCTCACC